CTCTCTCTCTCTCTCTCCCTCTCTCCCTCTCTCCCTCTCTCCCTCTCTCTCTTCCTCTCTCTTTCCTCTCCCCCCCCTCCCCCTCTTTCTACTCTGTCCATGTGGAAAAGTCATTCTTTGCTGGAGTGATTATTTAACAGAGACGTTATTACGTGTATCGAGATGCCGCTTTCTGGGAATGAATTGTCGTGAACGTTGAATGAAAGGCCGATAAAATCTTATCCGATGGATTCGCTTTTGCGTAAAAGCAGAACCCCACCTAGCAAGATTCGTAATTTGCATACGTTCGTAATTACAATAAACGTTTTCGCGTGATATAATCCTTCGACGATCCGTCGGTGAATTTCCACGCTGCGGCTTAACGGCACTTGTAGTTTTATGATTCATGTACATGAGAATGTGATAATCGAAATAGCTATTAAAATGCATTATAATTTGCACACTTCATATAGCACGATAGAGATAATATTAGAACTATAATTTGAGGAATATAAATGCGCGGCAGATGAAATTAAGGTCTACTAAAATATAATCTGTATACATAAATATGTTATTTGACGTTTCTTATATTAAACGATAAAACTATTGCTATCTCTTTTCCGGCCGATGATATAATGCGAGATATCTCTTCGTATTTATATCGTGTCTCATATATATTTTCCTCGCAACTTATATTTCAAGAAATGCTTCGTATTTTTCATGCTTTCTTCATATCTATGTGTTTCTCCTTAAAGGATTTTCGAGTAAACTGTCAATATATTTTGCGAATATCAACCGAGCAAGTCTTGACGAAAATAGTATATTTCGTGAACAGTATATTTGTCGTCAGAATCTTATTCTAGATAAGTCGTGAAACCCTACGTACCTCGAGCTCCATTTAATTATCGATCTCGCTGGCGCATAGTTGCACGGAATGCTTTATAGATTTACGGGGTGTGCCAAAAAAGTACAGTCCCGATTCGTCGGTATGGAAAAGTCGTCCGATAATTCTTTCATCGCGCCTCTCGTTGTGATAAAATAAATTTTTCGCTGAGATTTTAGATTTTGATGCTTTCTTACGATATGTGGGCGTACGATAGCGTTTATTCTCCAATTTATGAATCTGTCCTAATTTAAACGAACACGCTCTAGAATCCTTCACGCCAAGCACGGTTCTAGCCTCTTTCTTCGGCTTATTCACGTCTTATTAACGTCTTCAGTAATGTATATTTCAATAGAATAATATTTACTTTATGTTGAATTGTTTTCAGACTATAGCTTCATCACTTTCAGTTAAATCCGTTGTTATTCAGAAGTACAGATTATACAGAAGAGAAATTTATATCGTGACTAAAGAATATAAAGACGAGATGTAGAATTTTGCTGTATTATTCCTAAAATTTTCCAATCAACAATGTATCGCGTGCGATTTTGCGTTACGATTAATCGTGCTAATAATAAATTTTACATGGAAAGAATAGTTTTGCTAAAAATTTGCTAAATATAATTTTAAAAATAATTTTATTGGACTATCAAAAGAATTATGTAGAACGCTTAAATTGGCCATTAGAATAACAAAAGTTTTTATAATATTATTTTCATGCTTAAAGTATTCTACATAATTATTTTTATAATCCTATAAAATTATTTTTAGATCTATAACTAAATTTTTAAATACTTGAAAAAAATCGTTCTTTCCGTGTAAAATACAAATGTATGTTTTTTATTATTATATTCGATTACAACAATTTGTTGCGAATTTGAAGGAAGAGAATTTTTCTTATCATTTTCAAATTATAGATTATCATTTAATTATCGCGAAGTCACGCAAAATTCATCGATAATCTTAACTCACGATGATAATCTTACAACGCATACGTTGTCATAATCTTACGATTTATGTTGCCCAAGCATACTCATCGTAATACTTAACCGCCGACGATTGTCTTTTTCATCGTGTCTAGAAATTATCGCGAATAATGACGGTTGGGAATTTTCTTGTGAGTTTTCTCCCTTCGTTCTAAACTTACATCGCGATCGTATTGAGCAATTTCTTCCGTTTACAATATTGGAGGATTCGCGTAATGAACTTTTGCAACGGAGATGCATTAGCGATGAAGATGGAGAGGAAGGCACAATTAGAGCCATGACCCGCGTCGATGATCCGAGGAATTAACAAAGAGCCGGAGTTTCTCGAAAGAGAAGCGGAGCCAATCTTTGTGTCGCTAATTCACCAGGCTGGCAGACACACAAAGTCGCTATCGGTCGATCAATAACCTTACGGAACGAAAAACGTTCGTTTATCGTATATATT